TCATAACCAATCTTTAAAAAAAAAAATTACATGCAAATTTACTCATAAGGAAATAGTTATTACTGTTGGTGACTCAGTTGGTTAAACATCTGACAGCTCCAGGTCATGATCTCATGGTTCATGGTTTGAGCCCCGTTGAGCTTCTCCTTGCTGACAGCTCAGGGCACAGAACCTCACTTTTTGGATTTCTGTGTCTCCCTCTCTCTGCCCTTCCTGCTCACGGCTCTGTCTCTCTCTACTCTCTCTCTCTCTCTCTCTCTCAAGGCAAATAAACATTAAAAAATTATTGTTTTTTTTTAAGTAAAAGGCAAATCAAAGATTTATAAAGAGGAGAAAAAGCGGAAGAATAGTTGAGGAACAATAAACTAGTTGAGTCTTTTATAAAAAAAAATTATGTAGCTGATAAATTAGCATCTAGTGAAGGTTAATCTGGATATTCTCTCCTTGAAGAGCCAATAAGGGCTATCAAAAAATAATTGGGTTTTGTGGATTTTCTATAAAACTTAACAGTTCTTCAGACCATACTTTAGAGAAACTTCAAACTCATTTTTTTTTCATCAATTTATTATATATGCTCTTTTCTTCAACATTTTCTCAACCCTACCCTGATTAGATTCCTCTCTCTCATAATAAAGAAAACATTCTGTTTGGTTCCTCACGAAACTTTTATGTTGTCAAATTCAATGGGAATTTTCTTTATATAGCTAGCCTTGACATTGTCAATCGTCTTTTGTCATTTTAAAAGCCACTATTTCTTTGACTTTTTCCTTATGCTTTCAGCAGCCACTGTTTTACCTCTTTAGCTGTTTCGGGAACCACCTTTATTTTATAATCAATAAATATTTGAGCACCTTGAGATTTCAATTCTATATCCTCCTTTTTTTTTCTTTACTTTTAAACTTACCCTAGGCAACACAAACCCCCGGGTTTTCAATTTAAGTGTTACATTTATACTGAGAAACTAAATTTAGAAGCATTTACACTTCTTCATAAAATCATCCTCTGAACTCCAGATGGGTAGTACCTATAGACATTATTTCACCTTTCACGCCCAATGGATCAAAACCAGAAAATTTTTTTACCCTTAAACTTACTTCTTCCAGTGTTTCCCTGTCGTGGAATGGTATATCTATCAGTTGGGTGAAACAGAAGTGTGGCGATTAACCTTGACAACTTAGTTTCTTAATATTCAGGCATTCCTGAGTCCTTTTTTGATTTCGTAATACAAATAGCTTTCATATATGTTGATCTTTCATCTACTGTTTACACTTTTAGTGCCAGTTACCCATCGTATTTCTGAAACTCTGGTGTATGCATTAAATATTCACAAGGGAGGAACCTTTAGTATAGAACTAAACTTCTGGTCAGAATTCCAAATTTTTCAGTTTTAAATCCATAATTAATTGTATGAATAACTACTACTAAATTTGGTGTGTATTATTGAATAATACATTAACAATGTGTTTTTTTGTATTATGTATGACTTTGATGAATGGTTTCTTAATATGTTTGCAGATTAGTGTTTAAATATTACCCAGGGATACCTGTTCAAATGCCATTCAAGAACTCCACGTCCGGAGTTCTGAATTAAAAGTTCTTTGTATGTGTATAAGTTGTAACTATGCCTTTTTAATAGGAATTCTTTAAAAAAATTTTTTTATTCTTTTCTTTATTTTGAGAGAGAGGGGCAGTGAGGGCAGTCATAAGTGGGGAGGAACAGAGAGGGAGGTGCAAATGGCGGGATCAGGCTCTGAGCTGTCAGCGCACAGAGCCTGACAGCAAGGGCTTCGAACTCATAACCACAAGATCATGACCTGAGCCAAGATTTGGATACTCAACTGACTGAGCAACCCAGGTGCCCTCCAATAGTTTTCTTAGAGGATTATTATGTATGCTAGCATTTGAGAAAGTCTGGAATAATCTTGTTTTTATTTGCTTTTGAGCATTTTATTGATGACCAGTACATGCTGGGCTAATGCCTCTTGGTCATGTTACATCAACAAGAGATACATGTTAAAGCCTTCAGGAATGTGTGGTGAGCTGCACTAGAAATGTAGAGTTAGCACATGACTATGTGTTCAAGGCTGTTCTGGAACCCACCTGTGCAAGTAGTGTCTTTGGTGAAATCTTGTAGCTGATAATCTCATTTATGTATTCCCTTATTCTTTT